TACGTTGGGGAAGTAACTTTTGATGACTCCATGATATAAGCATAAAAGAAACTTTTACGGTTGCATTGAGAACAATGAGCAACGTTTAATCCATTATTGATTTTTTCACCAACGTACATTATTTAATTACATATTTTCATTTGGCATCGATTTTCAAAAAGAAAAAGTTGCTGTTGCAATGTATATATTTATTCGAAGTATGAGATCATAGAAGATGCTCAACCCATCTATCGTAAATATTTAGAAAACTCGAACAATACTTTAAAATTTCTATGGAGAATCATTACTTAGAAGTTTTTAAATTCTACATATGCTATCTTGTTTAAAATCTGATGTTCTTTCTAATTCTATAGCGGGGTGTGGATGTGGATGTGGGTGTGGTGGGCGTGGGTGTGTGGGTATGGGTGTGGGTGTGGATGGGTGTCGGTGTGGATGAAGAAAAGATTCCCACACCTACACTCACATCCACACCCGCACCCACACCCACACCCCACACGCACACCCATCCACACCTCACACCCACACCCTTATTTTCGGTTCGCGTTTTGTCTCGTCTTCAGCAAAGGTGGATTGTATCAAAGGTTCTAAAGGAATTCAAAATCGTTCGCGTCTGGTACATTCACCGTCCGGGGGTGGGTGTGAAATAGGTGCGAGACCTGTGTTCCATTAATCTAGGCACATGCACATGCACACGCACACCCAGACTCACATCCCAAATCATGTTTAACCGATTAAAATCATGGATAAGTTATTTTTCGCTGTTATTTTTTTCATCCGAAAGAACCTTTGCTCCACATCAAATATGGAAAAAAGTTCTCCGCAATTTTCCGATCAATATTCTTTCCATTTGCAGCCACTTACGCAATTTTCACAAATAAATATTCATTCTAAAGAGCATTCAAAAGTAAACGTTTTGTGCAAAAATAAAGGTTCTAGTTTAATTAATATTTTTTTCAATATGCTGAACTAAACTTATTTTTGATGGAAACTAGTTTCATGTAATTTAGATATATATTCAAGACTACAATCGAATGTAGAAATAGCAAAAATGCTTATATTTATTCTATACTAATTTCTATTTAATTTATTCAGTCATACATTGATATCTAATCAAAGTTTATTCAATAGTTCATAGTAGCGATCACTTTAAGTTGAAAACGAAATTTTTTACGTTCTGCATAACTAAATGCCTCCTAATATTTGTCATGTTTTAATCTGATATTTAGACAGTTGTATTACTAATCCTTTAGTTTTTATTTATCGATCTTCATTTTATAATAGACCAAACAAAATGGTCGGATGCTTTATATGGATTTGTATTTTGCTTATTTCAGCTATATGCTCTTCCAGTCATGGTGGTGACGATTACAATATTGATGGAATAGTTGTTAATGAATGGGAATTTGTTCGTGATTCATTCAAAGAAAATTTCGTTGAACAAAGAGATTTAGGTGCTTCTATAGCCATCTATCATCAAGGTAAATTAGTTGTAGATTTATGGGGTGGATGGTTTGATCGTTCGTTTACTAAACCTTATGATAATAATACATTACAGTTAGTATTTTCAGCCACCAAAGGTTTAGTAGCTATTGCAAATGCATTATGTGTTCAAAAAGGATGGCTTAATTATTCAGAATTAGTTACAAAATATTGGCCTGAATATGGACAAAATGGCAAAGAAAATACAACAGTAGCAGATATTCTCTCACATCGTGCTGGACTACCATTTATATCAGACCCATCCGAACAGATTTTCAATTGGACAGCAATGATTCATTCATTAGAACACCAACGACCATTATGGCCACCTGGAACTGCTCATAGTTATCATGTACTCACATATGGATGGCTTGCTGGTGAACTTATACGACGTGTTGATCCAAAGAAGAGAACTGTCGGGCAGTTTATTCAAGATGAAATTGCCAATCCATTCCAAATCGAATTTTATATTGGTTTACCATTAGAACAAGCCTATCGTGTATCACCACTTACTTTAAGTTTAGATGATCTTCGGGCAATGAATGATTCAATGAAAGCCTTTTATATACTGTACAATGATCCTCGTCTACATCGAGCTGAAATACCAGCAGCAAATGGAATAACAAGTGCTAAATCATTAGCAAGAATTTATGCATCTCTAATTACTAATTTGGACGATGGAAAACAAAAACGATTGTTGGATGAAACAGTTCTAAATCAAGCAACGAAATTAAACACACCTAAAGATGAACTCGATTTTATAACAAATACACATTCAGCATTTGGTATGGGATTTACGCTGTTTGATCAAACATTTCCAATGTTTAAATCAAAAATATTTGGTCATATTGGTAAAAATTTTCAAGACACTTTTTCATTCATTCGTTTTCCTTATTAAAATTTAGGAGCTGGCGGTAGTATTGGTTTTGCTGTACCTTCGAAAAATCTTTCATTTGCATATGTTGTGAATCAGCTTGATATGACAAGAAGAAATCCTACTCGTCAACGAATTCAAAAAATCCTGGAAAAAGTTTCAACAAAGATCACTGCCGATTATTAACATTAAATTATTTTAATTTTTTGAGAAAAAAATATAGAGAGAATGTCTATTTAACGACTAACTAGTTTTGGGTGTGGATAGGTGTGGGTCTGGATGTGGGCTGATATTCTCTTCGTCCACACTGGCACCCAAACCCTTCAACTAAGGTAATTAATGGATCAATCATATTGTACATACTAATATCACAGAAATTGCACCGAAAATTTTACTTAGAAGCGCTTTTTTGTCGAGTTTTCTCCGAGTGTTGGCTGTTTTAAAATTTTCATCGGAGAATAGGTTTAGAAATTTTGAAATCTATTGTGTCATACACACATCAGCTATATCACTATCAAAATGAGCAGAGATAGGTAAATTGAGTATTTTTTAAAGTTCCTTCGACATTTGAGATTCTCTCACTGCTTTCAAGCAGACGTATCTCTATCTTATGTGTGCAGTGTTTTCATCGATAAAAAAAAGTGAGCAAAAAAATGGAATTGAATGAGAACTATGAGAACCAATGACATGAATTTTGAGGTTGATATATATTTGGAATATAACTCATTGAAGGATGTCGTATAAAAAATTGATGAGCAGAGTCTTGAATTATTGATAGTGTCAAGTGAATGTTTTCTATGAAAGTCAACTCAAAGAGATGCGTTGCCTAACTGTCACGATTATATGTCGTTATTGCTTTAATGCGCTCTTTTTTGATGCTCTATGTTTACAGACTTTCTTGCTAAATACAATCACTTCATGCAGTGCATACAGTTCCACCAGTGAATAATCTAACAGCACAAACGGTGTTAATATAAAATGAAATGCATTGCGAAGAATAAAAATACATTGAGGAACATTCATTATTTGAGCAATAAGTGCATCAGTCATCAATGCAACCAAAAATGTTAGCATTTGTAGACGGGTCTGGGTGTGGGTATGAGTGAAGAAAAGAAATATACCCACACCCACACCCCAGATTTTGCCATTAAAGCATCTGAGAGGAAAACATTTTCAACTAACCAACAGTTTTCTGATCAAAAGCTATCGGTTACATTTTTATCAATCTTATTCATCCCGCCCGCATATGACTATAAAAAAAACTGCTTACACCTGTGTATGCTAGATTTCTAGGCTAACAAAGTATTTTGCAAAAATCATGTTTGATCTACTCAAATTATAGAGCACATCGAAATGTCGACAGAGCATTAACCTTTCTTATTCTGTGGAACTCACGTACATTTTCAAAGAAAATAGTAGGTATTGGTTTTAACTCGAAGTTTTGGAGCTGTCCTCCCCATTGCATACTTTTGAATTCGATCCCTCAGTACTAGTGTAGACTTTAGCAACCAGGATTAAATAATGAATATTTAGGACATCCTTATTTGCCATTGAGTTCAATATTAAATTTAGAAAAATGAAATATAGGGCTACTGTAAATATATATAAACAAAATTTATTGACTTGGCATGTTGTGTGTTTTGTATTAGTATAATGAAGCTTAATAAGACTTGTAAATTCAATATTTAGGTCCTAATGGAGTGGCTCTAACAAGTTTTTATTTCAAGGTATTTCAACAAGCTCCATAATTTGGAGAGATCCAAGCAAATTTTGGCAAAAAGTATTTTAGCCTCGAATATCTAAGAGAATTCCTCAAAGTCATATTCGAAATCAACATGATGAATAATCTGCAATTCACTAATGTTCTATAAGAAAACGATTGATCAGTTGGAAACGTTTCTATGTTAATCCTACATCTTAAAAACAATCTATAGTATTACGTACATTGATGCTTATCATTTGTGAAAGAAAATCGAGTTATAGACTCTATCTATAGATACATAAATGATGTTAATTTAGTAATAATTATAACTCGAATATTCTCCAACTCTCATTTAGGGAATGCACATAATGAGAACTATAAACAATTTTTTTTCTCTATTGGCATCATATCAGCTGAGATATAATATATTTTCTATTCGGATATAAATTTTGGATGAAAATTCAAATCAATTGACGATCTATGGTAAATTACTTGCTAAGTTACCTAAGTTTGGTTCTTTGCATATGGCATGATGTGTATTAGCTGTTCTTCGACAATACAATTGTGAACGTGATTTGATTTGTCTTGCATCTATCCTAAGCGTTTTAAATACAACAAGTCTATTAGCACAATTACCGCAACGTTTTAAAAGTTCCGATGGTGATTTTATGACACTTCTAAATGTGATGAATGAAATTTTATTAATTAAACAGTCAATTCCAGCACGATCATTTGAATTAGCGCGTGTCAGCCATGTGAAAGGTCTTAATCATATAAGACATATTATTGGACAAGCATTATGATGATATGATACTTTAGAAAAATCATTTGATCTTTCAAATGATTATCGTGAACAAGCTCAAATTCAATCTGGTAATTGGATATTAATAGCCAAACCATCATTAGCAGGTTATTCTGACAATGTCTTTGTTTCTAAACGAGATTTGCAAGATCGAACTCATCATTTTCTACGTTATAATAATGCAAAGGATACAGCTGTTTTAGATTTTAAATCAATATTAATATAATCGAAAAAACAACTACCTGTCTCAATTGTCGTAGCACGAGATATTCTTTATTTGAGTTCTGCTCGTTTAACAGGTGTTATTTCATTCTTAGGATGAATAAAAGCGGATTGAATTCAACATCATGTTGAACGTCAAATAAAACTAACTGAAGACGAAGAAAATTGGCTTAAAGTTCATAATGGATATTCAACTGCAAGAGCAATATTTCCCAACGCCGTCCCAATGGAATTATATAGTGGGCTTCTTAGTTTAACTGGGAAGGCAGGTCTTACACTAAATAGTGAATTATATCTGCTTCAACAATTGATTGTTCAATGTACATTTTCTTTGGACAATAATAATACAAAAGACTCTACAGCATATACAAATTCGACTCATTTTTAGGTTGGTTGAAAACTTGTGTTGTTGTTAAACATCCAAATTCAGGTAAAGAGATATGATCTTTAATCAACTTAAACTAAACTTATTCCTTATTCTAACAAAAATGATTTCTATATCAGGTGTCTCTCCATGTCTTCTTCGTTATAAAGAACGTCGTGATTGTCAAGATATTGAAGAAAGAATTTCGCATGTTACAGATCCTAAACGAATAATCATTGATTTATATAATAGTGTCAAAGGTTCGAAAGCAACACGTGAAACACGAATGGAAGTTGTTGCTTGGATAGCTGTTTGTAAATGTAATTGAAAATTAGAAGGTGGTTTTGTTCGAGATTGGATCGTTGGAAAATATACAACACGACCAGCTGTTGCAAATCCAAAGCATTGGATCGAATATAAACCAAATCGTTACAATGAAAATATTCCTTATATGAAAAAAGAAGTTGTTCCAACTGATTTGGATTGCCATTTACCAACATACGGTTATTTTGATATTGAGACATTTCAAGATGAACTTCATAAATTTGGTATTAAGTGCAACAATTATCGAGAAGAATGGAGATATATTTTATTAATTGATGAGAATACTCGAACAGGACCATTAACTATGGATTTAATTGAGTCACATGTTGCATTAACACATGATCTTATTGATTTTGATGTTAGTAATTTGGTATTAGAAAAAAAATATACATATGACTTGGGAATGCGTATTGATATTCTACAAAAACCTTATTCAATTGAACTTGAAACAATTGTTCACAATATCGAAAATAAAGAGTTTTATGTTCTTCATACTATTGACGATAGGCTCACTGAACGTATTGAAAAATGACACAAATTTATCATTGGAAAAAGTTAGAGCCAACGTACAATGTTTTGCCAGGTTCACATAGAAAATGCAATGCACTTATTGTACCATTACATCATATAGGTACTATATATCAAGCTATTAAAAAGAAGATGCAATTGATTCAATATAACATAGATATTATATCTATTGAAGAAATTAAAAATCCATATTTGAAAGAAATCTATGAAGGTATGAAAAAATGATCAGTACACAATGCCCAGGATTTAATCCAGATGAATGTCTACTTTTTCATGGTACAAGTGGTGATGCAATTAATGAAATAGCAGAATATGGTTTTGATGATTGATTTTATAATGCAGAAGGAACTTGGGGTACGCTTTATTATCTTTTCACTGTTAGTTTTTACAAAATACTACCACACTTATTTATAATCTTTCATATCCAAATTTAAGTATCACGCAAGAAATAAAGTTTAGCATAACAATTGATAGAATTTAAATGAAACTAAGACATTTTTTCATCTCTTCGAGTTATTCTGTTTAATATGCTATACAAGAGTGATTTCATAGAGAAAAATGCTTTTCAAAAAAGCCCTAACATAAACATATTATTTTATTTGATTAATATATTTTGGTTTGTCATATAGGTCATGGCGCTTATTTCGCTGATGATTCTCGGAAATCGCATAATTATGGAAAACCCAATCCAGTAAATGTATTACGTGTCATATTTTATAATAAAGTACTCTTGGGCAATGCGGCGCTTTACACACTACCTGATCACACATTGGCATCTGCACCTCAAGATTGTCATTCAGTCAGAGGAACATATTTTCATTATAAGAAATATATCGTTTATCGTTATGATCAAGCTTTGCCATATTTAAAAATCATTTATAAAGCTTAATGCGTTAAAAGATATTGATGATTATTGAAGGAAAGTTATTTTGATCTGTTGGAATAAAAAAAATGACTTTGAACATTATCATGTTCGGACTTGAAATGCTTTTTTTTTAATGCAAACTAAATTTAGACAACACATCGTTTATTTTTAATTAACAATTTTTTTTCTTTCTTTACTCATAATTAACACTGAATCAAAACTTATCGAAATTTCATGAGTGAGCAATTGATTCGAGAACAAAATCAGTTAATGAAACATTATTAACAAATGAAGGATTTTTACATCTTTGTTCTTAGTGTCCTTTTTAATAACGACTATAATGAAGTATCTGAATTACTATGTTTCGAAGAACGTGAGAATGTGAGGGTAAGATTGTGGAGACGTGGGTGCAAAGGAATCAACATCTGCATGAATGATAATTTGTTAATATAAGACGGATGCGTCGGCTCCGACTGTACGCTAGGATCACCCACACTGTGATACAAGTATCCTATGGGCTAATTTTTTCTCTATCTTATAACTTTACAAACACCAAAACGCGACCATCGTTAAAATATCGGTGTTACGACAATTTTATTCTGATTATCTACTCTTAACTATTATTTCTACTTTTAATTTGAAGTCATGCCACATTGCTTAAAAAGCAATGCCATAAGAAACTCGTGTATGGTCGTGATACTTTCTGGTCAAATGTAAAAAAATGAAACAAAAAAACAGAAGTTGCAAAAGTCGTTTGTATGAAAATGTCAGACAATCGGTTGAGTCGCTTCCATCAATTTCTGGAGAATTTCGGAAATATCTTTGTCACTGGTTTCAGAACAAAAAACCTGATAGTAGAATTCGAAAAATTTCAGTTGAATATTAATTTCATCGTTTGCAATTTCTATTCGAAAATTCATTTGAATTGAGTTTATTTTTATTGATATAAATGTTCAAAATAAGAATTGTTTTTTTTAGCATAATAAAGCTTATAATCAATATCTCTAGAATTGGAGAAAAAAAATGATTGAATCATATTCTTGCAACGAGAAAAGAAAAGATTTTTATCAAGCAATTTCTCACAAAATGATTATCGAAAGGAATTAAAATGAAACTCTTTTTTATTCGAATCGGGAAGACTTAGCTAGAGAGTAGAATGAAGGTAATAGAATCGATTTTATACGATGAAAGTCTGACATATTGATCATGCATGAATAGTGCGAATTTAAAATCGCATAATAATTATTCTGTTTCGTTTCGATCAATAGCAAATACGTAATATAATTCATGTCTATGCTTCGAAATCGCTTATTGATTGATCAATACAAACAATAAAGCCTTTATTATTGTTTTTCTATCTTACAAGAAAACATTTCTAAAAATCCAATCTCTTTTTATTAGAAACTTGGCATTCTATTGGCACTGATAAATGATGAAAGAGTCTGTTGTAGTGTGGTTTTCCGATTACGAGCGTAGAACCTTTGAGAATATAAATGAATGAGTTTCGAACTGAAATTTTGTCCTTCTATACAGACTTTATAGTCAGTAGGAACATCTTACAGTTTGAGCTAGAACTGAGGATTACTACCAACTTATCAGCTTTTTATTGAAATATTCTTGTTACTTTGTCATACAACTGAAAGCAAGTAATTCGTTACTGTGAGAATATCTTAGTAATAATGCATCCACCGAAACTCAAACTTTGAGAAGTTTCGAGTAACTATGAAATTAATTTTTGAACAAAACTGATCGAGGAATAAAAAAATCGAGCCAAAACTGTTGTTGTTTTGACAACTCATCAAGACCGATGGCATAGCAATAGTTTCAAGCGAAAAGTTTTAATTTTTAACAGTTGGCATGTTTTCTCATTGATGAGAAAAAAGTGGTTCGTCTTTTATCAGACTATTTATGTATAAATGAAAACAAATTTCTGTAAATTGTCATCAATTTTAGGATCCATTACAGACAAACAATATTTATTTTTAATTGATTGACCTTTTTAAAAACCGATGTCTTTTGTTATTCAATTATGTTTTTTAAAACAAATTAAGTTTGACGAATCAATGATTGTCTATATGCAATTCAATTCAGCGAAAAACTCTGTTTGAACCATTTATTTATGATCGATTCTAATTTTATCAATGATACATGCATTGCCTTTTGTTCTGTTCATCTTTCTGAATTATACTTATAAACAATGAAGTTGTGCTTGCGTAAAAGTTTTCCGTCATTACACAAAAAATAGGTGACACTAATTCTTATGTGTCAGCCAATAGTCGAACTTGGATGACACAGTTCTCAGTCATATATCTTCACCACTAGACCGTTGAAACTTATCCTTTTAAAATCCGATCAAATGTTTGATTATGGATGCAAAACGAAGCACACCATGAAGTAGTAGACAGAGTACATGCGTCGTAACGTTACAACAGAACAGAATTTGTCGAGTAAGACTTTTTTTTGATAGATGTCAGCTATTTTTAAGGCTTAAAATTTTTCATTGTCTGTATTCACTTTTTTCTTTCTATTTCTCTTGATTAAATATATATAGTCATCATAGATATTCATAGTTGTCTACGGACATATAATAAAATTGGAACGATACAGAGAAGATTAGTATGGCCCCTGCGCAAGGATGACACGCAAAATCGTGAAGCGTTCCATATTATTTCTTTTGTTTTAGATTCAACTAAATAGCTGAATACACATTAAACACAGTTAGCCCTAATTATATCCCAATAAAACAACAAGTAGTAATGTTCACCTCCTCGTAACCATCATCAAGTAGTAAAAACAAAAATCTTTCATAGTTTTAATAAATATCCTTTTTTTGTAGTAGATCTACTTAAATCAAATCAACCTATGGAATATTCACAAAAAGATCGATATTTATGACTGTTTTAAGGAAATAGATGAACCAGAAAGGTGTGGTTGGATGTGCATTTCAATGTGAATCTCAATTTCACCGAAATCCATCCATCTTTCTAGTTTAGAAGAAATTAATCGTTATGTTAAAGCGAAGATGAATTCTGACAAAGAAGAATCAGTATTTTCACAGTTAGCAACGTAGAGCTACAAACGATTACATTGGGACGAAACAAGGCAAACAAAATGAGAAGTTTATTTTTCTGTTGGTTTGCTGAGTCAATCTAGTCCAAGAGAAGGGTGTGAGGTTTGGGTCTATATTATAACACAGTGTCACGCCGCACGACGACATCCACACCCTCACTGTTAGAGTTTATCGGCTGATACAAAACACATTGTAATAATGAAAATTTGGATGATGTGGTGGGTCTACTCTCAAAGAACAACCACACCCCACCTTCTTTTTGAGATGTTGTTCAAACATTTTTCCCTTTCATTCACAGTTTTTACAAAGTTTCTTCGGTTTTTCATTGCTCATTCACTTCTACACACATTGATCATTTGGAAAATAAAGGAGTCGTTCAGTATTAATTGTTTTTTTTTAGATCAGTCATCCGTTAAATAGAATCAATAGAAGAAATTAATAATGCAAAAAGGATTTTCATTAAAATGACATTAAAATATGATTTGACGCGAAATACGTGGGCTCTTTCTAAGCTGCATCATAACACGTTTGCAAAATTCTTGAAACGGAAAATCTTGTTCATAATTCTAATCATGATTGTCAATATTTTATTCGTTGGGATGAAGATTATCAGCACGTTACGTCACAAAAAGAAGATTTGATCGACCAAGGGATAAATCGGTGAGAAGTACGTTTCTTCGTCAAGTAAATACATTAAACATTCTATTCGTAAGTACGAGCCGAACAACAGCTTCTTTATTAGGTAAATCTGCTGTTTCAACTGAATGTCGACATGAGGGACACTCATTTTCTACTCTTGAGGTATCTAACATGCAAGTGAAGTAAAATCTATGCTTACCTTCGCAAGACGATTGAGCAAATCATTGGTTTAATTGTAAGTCTTCGATATAAATCCTGCATGTTTTATTAAGCAGGCTATTATTGACTATCTTTGAACTAGTCAAACGATATTATACAAAAAAGCGAGAAAATGCTTATGTCATGCGTTGTAATGTTTGACTGATGCTGTTTTCATACTTTCTTTGTTAATATTGAGCTTCTTCTTCATCTAGACCTTTCAGAAGATGTCGAGTTTCTTGCTGAAGACACCACTACTTTTGTCGTTCTCAGCTAATAAGACATACAAACGTTCTAAATGTTTTCGTCACCACAATTCAAGAAAAACCTTCAGCATACTTATTTCGATATTGATCACTCAAAGCCATCAACGTTTGATGTAGCCAATGCGCTGAACTGCAATAACGACTATACGTGCATATAAAAAAATCAATTTATCGACTGTCATTATTATTTCCAAGTACAATGCCATCCAATGTCACTTCAATAATAATATCAATAGGAATAATAGCGAATGGTGCATTTTCATAAAGTCGGCGAAGAATTTCCGCAGATTTTTCTAGTAAATTTATAATAAACATGCAGAAATATTAGTCGCGCGCTTTAAACATCTGATCATGATGATTATTTACGTAAGCAGTACTCAACAAAAGATTATCCAAGTTTTCTAAAGAGACAGTATCTGCTTTTCTCATTTGTTCGCGAATGAGAAAAGTGCAGAGTAAACAATAGTAGATAGACGGGAATTCATGAACAGGGAACATGTGACAAGACCAATCAATACGTAAGATATATAAGGAGTATAGAAACATGATGCATCGAAGGGTCAATTTTGGTTGTTAAATTGACGGTATTCATATGAATCTCCTTCCAAAGTATATTCATGTGTAAATCGATCAAGATATCCAACAACAAAACGTTACATATTGATATAATCCTTCTATTGCATTCTGCTAGAGTCAGATTGTAGATTTGTTCAATCTTTTCAATATATATATATTGATTTTTATGGTTGGCGTAAAAACTCGCTTGATGCAACTCTAAATTATTTGACTATGTATTAGAGCACTTGGATATTAAACGATTGAAAATGATATGGTTAATGTTTTTGGTAGTGAGATTGTCGTTAAACAGAAAATTTAATATATAATATCATTTTTAGTATGTCAATAGTCGGTTCGAGGACATGATGCAATGTATGTAACAATTTTCAATATAAATGATTTATAACTGATAAAGTTATAGTTCATTTGTAAAGGATCCCAAGTTTGATTCAGATTCATTGAAAATAGACCTTTCCATGCATTGTACACTTGAGTAAGACGTTGGAATATTAACAATACAACAAAATAAAAGAATAAATAGCTCCATGCCTTCTAAATGTATACGATTCACGCATTCCGAATATCTTGAAGACGTTGATCATAGATAAGTATCGATACGGATGAGAAAGATGCCCATTCTCTCATACTTTTACCCGGAGTTCGTAGGTTTTGTCAATATGAGAGGAAAATAATAGAAGTGTTAGGGTCCTTTGCCCGTTTTCTTTATTATTCTTCTTCCTTTCTTTCAAAAAACAAACAAGCGAATGAATCAAAAACATAAAAAGCAGCAAAGAATGTGATTCTCTCTCTTTCTCTTATTCCACTCTCTCTTTCTTTATCCATGATGAAAGTACCATTGAGAAAGAAGAGTAAGAATACATTGATGTAGAGTGCTGACATCACAAGAGAATAGACAGAGCCTCCTTATGTCAGGAGTAGTCTCTCCTGAGATAACAACAAGGGTATGAG